TAGTGCAGCTTGTATAAGCGCACGCATTCTCTGTCTTCTTCGATATGAGTGAATTCTCGGGCAGCGTCGTCGGTAAAAGCTCGTTTTAATGGCCACACACTCTGCCAGTTTACCGAATGCACGCACGGCTGAAAAGAGAGCATTCGCAAAAAAAAAAGTTCGTATTAGAACAAGAAGGATATTTCGGTCACGTTGCTTGAGCTTCACGCAAATACGACTGAAGCTGACATCAGTACATTCTATCACACATGACATTAAAATACAATGACTGCTTTTCTTTTTGCCTTTGTAATTAGTGTTAGTACGCAGGGAAAAACACTTGAAAGCTAAATGACTGTAATGGGTTTTGGAGTTATTATTATTGTTTCGTGCTGGATGTGTATGATAAATAAAAGAGCTCCTACGAAAAAATGGCAGCACGAATAGGTTCAAAACAGCATAGCCTAAGACAGCTAAATTATCTTCAAGTGAACAAGCTAGCCTGCTAAAAAAATCTGACAGATTTACATGATCTTGTACGAATGGGCTCGGATAGCACAGAACAGGTGTTCTCGTTGCCGATTTAGCTGACGCCTAAAGACATATTTCTCATCCCAAGGTCTTGGTTACGTCGTTCCAAGGGCACGAAACAACCTCACACTTAGCACCTGACGCCTCGATGGAACTTCAGTAAACATCATGTTATAGACTTGACTCGTTATAAACGGATCATGTGTGACCCACGTCATAATTATATCACCCATCCTTAATGAGACTCTGTTAAAGCGGGTGGTTTCTAAAAAGTAATAGTTTCGTGGTTTCATCTTTTGGTTTCTTATCGCAGATTTGGGCGCACGTTAAATAACCCCAGGTGGTCGAAATTTCCGGAGCCCTCCACTACGGCGTCTCTCATAATCATATGGTGGTTTCGGGACGTTAAACCCCACATATCAATCAATGGTTTTTTATCGCAAAAGGACATTGGCAGTTAGAAACTCATCTGAACACGCAATGAAGTCCTTTGACTTATTTCTGTGCGCGTCGTATTGTACGCGCGATATGTTCACGCCGTCTGTCAGTGGTTTCAAATTCGCGCCTCCATTACGTTTGTTCTTAATGACGAGGCTTACTGACATACGTTTGTCCCCCTGTGACACATATTTAAATGCTAGCTCTCCTCACCCCGCATTTTGCTTAGTGTTCCACTACTGGTCTGTTTCATTGAAGTTTCTACCCTCACTCTACTGCAATATACGCCCGAGGTATTTTCTTCTCCCTTCTTCCTAATGCACCATAGTTTCTCGAGTGTGATATATTGCGTTATTTATATTGTTTTTGCAAGAGTATTTCAAGAATATTGCTTTGTTCACTTAATTTTCGCATTTTTCGTCATAATAACTGCACAACTACAGCGATAAATTGTAGAACAAATGAGGCACGTGCTAATTGCTTTTTAAGCAGTGCTGTTCAGTGCAAGCGGTGCACTAGCAATGCATATTTAATTTACTCCCCCTTTTCGTAATAGTATTGCGTGCCTGAAATAGTTATAAAGAAAGAAAATATTGACTTGCGCTTCAGCAGTAAATTATGTCTGAAATTATCAATTAATTTTGCATATATTATTACGCATCGGAGGCCACTGAACCGCAAATTGTTAGAAGCAGTTTTATTTATTTGACCTCAATTATCGGCAAATAATTCTTTTATTCTTTGTGAAGCAGCTATAGAACGGGTCGCATCACATTCGTAAAGATACTGTTTTGCCCGACTTTTTTTTTTCTCCTGGTTCATGTGGTCTGCTGAAGCTCATTCACCACACCATACTATGCTTACCCCCCCCCCCCCCCCCCCAAAAAAAAAAAAAAGTGCTGGCACGATTGAATACATTGACGGATCAATATTGGAATGCGAGTGAGACTACATGACCAGACTGATGACAACAGCTTCGCAGGTAGCTCATCCGTTTTTTATATTGTTTTATTTTCACGTATTGCAGTGCGCGTGGCTACGAGGCATTTCTTCCGCACGAACGCAACAGCTCAAAGGTAATGAGCAGTTCGAGCTATTCCACTCTGTTTCAAAGGAAAGTTCTAAAAAAAATGCAAATTCGCTCATCTCACTCTTTTACTCCCTTTCACCCCAAGGCCTTCTTCCTTCTTTCAACACCTTCCTACTATTCCCGTCACCGTGTTTCGGCCTACTACGTTAGCGAGGTGGCTTGGAAGCGAAGCGTATGCAGTCAAGCCACAATGGGGGCAGACTGCCGCAGTTAAAGCTGATATGAATTTCTTGCTGCTCACGGTTGAACACACAATGAGCCTTACACTATACACTGGTAAATATATCAACAAAGCTGCCGACTCCTTGCTTGAAGCTGGCAGGCCTACTGGCCGAAGCCTTCTTTTTTTTCCTGATTTTTAATTCTCACATTAGCGTCGAGCGGAGCCACAGCTAGACGTTGTGAGCATTTTCAAAGCATTTGTTGAAAGCATTGGTGCTCAATTTTGAACCATTCGGAAAGGTTGAATGACTGCCAATTTGATCTGAGATGATCTCCCCATAGATTGCAAGATGGGCTGCAAAAAGAAAAGTATTGTGCTTTTTTGACAGTATTTTGTGACAAACTATACGATTTGCTGATATACGATTCACGTGCATTCGTTGTAATTTTCCCGCATTTAAGAAAGAGAATGTTTCTCACATAAATAAGTAAATTTCACTATTAAGTGCTAAACGGCTTGGTTGGCCTGCCGAGTAATATGGAGAAGCAGTGATATGTGTGCAGGGGTTGGCCCAAGAACAGCAACGTTCGGGGCATGCGCAGGTGCCTGATGAACGGCGCCAAACAATTATGTATCCACGGTAAACCGAGTTAGCGGCTCTATCAAGAACTGATAGCTTTTTGTGCGCGTCTGAGTGCACAGGAACCGAAAATGTATTGTCTATTCATACACATGCCAGTGGGACGTCACCAAGACCGATTTAGTGCAACGGCTGAAATCTATCTTTGTGTCGTCATACCTTAGTGCACGTGGAAAGCAAACAAAAAGAGAGAGAGAAAGAGAGGAACGGTCACCCATTTATTGCGTGTGACCTGCTTCGGCATTTCCGGTTCACGTTTGGTACCTCTCCTAATTTTTTTCAACGCAGCAATATTTGGGTATTTTTTTTGCCTCATCGTAATTTTGTTTTGTTGACTACATGGATACAAAAACTGCGCAGGTAACCTTTGTCAAGTAATAAAAGTAACGGAATGTAACGACCCGAAATTCCGACTCTTCGATTATTAGGGGTTTGTTTTTATTGATAGTCAACGGGTGTCATCGCACCAATCTCGTGTGACAGCTTCACACAATTAGTGCAATGCAACCAATGGGCGTAAGAGCGTTCCAGTAGTTAACCCCGTGTGTCATTGTTTACGTGACACTCGATTTTCAATTCACTTCGAATAAAGCAATGAGATACGATTATGAGTCGTCTTTGTTGCAAAGTAAAACTGAAAAGTCTACGACCTCCCTAACATACGATGCCTTGAGGTTACCGAGAAAGGCTATACTTGAGGCAGTTAAGGAATTGTATCCTACTGGGAGCATAACAACCAATATGAACGCCTACTGCGTTACTTTTATTTCTTGTTGAGCCTGGATTAGTATTTGATGTAAACACGCTTTAGCAGGAAACTGTGGCAGCAAATTTGGGAGTCGGTTGTTTTCTTTGAAAAAATATACGACAAGCACTTCTAAGTGGACGAAGGAACGATTGCGAAAGTAGCACATTCGATAGGAAGATTACATCAGCGAAAAACCACACGAAGACAACGAAAAAGAACAACCACACAGCGATTGTCCTATGAGGTTGTGTTCTTTCGCTGTCTTCGAGTGGTTTTTTTGATGGTGTCATCTTCTTTTTACTACGAACCAACTAGCCCAGAGACCTGCGTTACTGAGCATATTCAAGCGGGACGAACGCTTCGGACGCACTCTTATATAAGCAGCACGCCAGACTCGCGAAATATAATGAGCGAAAAGTATCTCACAAACGAAACAATCCAAAAACCAACAAGTGTGTCATCCACTGATCCAGTAGGACGCGGTGAAACGGCGTGAATTCATATATATATATATATATATATATATATATATATATATATATATATATATATATATATATATATATATATATATATATATATATATATATATATATATATATATATATATATATATATATATATATATATATATATATATATATATATATCAATCGATGAGATCACATTGCCAAAATGACGAGCGAATCAGCATCATAGGCGCAAGGAAAACATGGCGGACCTTAACAACACCATCTGACAACCTGCCTCTATACTATACGAGGCAACAAATCACAAGCAGGCACGCCCGCTGTGATTTAGGGAAAAATGAAGTAACGAGTATAGCTCAACAATACGTGACGAAGCCGCTCGTTCATTATCTTATCAGACGGGTGCGTCTGAATGCTTGCCTGCTTAGTCTAAAGGTGTGAACGCTATACATTTAAGATGATATGGTGACGATACCATACAGCTCCTTCGAGTGTAGAGATTGCCGCCTGTGCTAGTCATCACGATATCTCGCGTGTAACTCTGACTTCTTCCTCGTTTCGTATTTGTTCGGACGTTGCACGCCAATGCCAAGTGTACGCAACTTCGTATGAGAGTGGGCATGAAGCCTGCGACACTTTCGAAGGCAGTGAATCAAAGCTCGCATATGAGACACTTCAGTTAGCTGCAGCTGTTTTCGCTTCGAGAGCTACTATCTGTTCTCGCATGTTTCGTACAAGATCCGCCCGTTTTGCTCAGCGGGAACCGAGAGTAGACGTTTTGCTAAAAGTAGCCATCGAGTTTCGCAGAAGTGACCATATTGATAATATGGCCGGGGGCGGTCATATTATCAGAAGCTATTGTCAAGGGAGCCGCTTTTTTACGCTATTAAGCACATGACTCCAACAGGCTTGTCGGCGGCCTGTTCAAGCAATCTTAATTTTTTTATTTAGAGCTGAATGACATAGCCAGCCATGCCATTTTTTTCGCTCACAATTGTGAGGCTACGCGACATAGATACACTAAGGTGTTTTCTTTTTAAAGTGCTTCGAGACACGTGCTTGCATTGGCGTGGGTGTTTTATACGCGTAGTACACAAACGTGTCATTTTTTCCCGTCCACCACCAGAAATTGCGTTATTTTTGAACATGCGAATCTTACCATCTGCAGCTTCTCAGCGATCTTAAATTTGTGGTCGAATTACACGAGCACTGTAATGACGAAGAATAGGGTGAGTGATGTGGTCGCGTTGTGTCAGCCGCATTCATAGGCGTATCTACCTCACTGTTAAGCCACAAATCCCTACTTATACTTGTCCAGTTTGTTTTTTGCTCATAATGCGTAACCTACGAATAGGTGACTCGTAGTTCTATATCAAGGGTCCTTAAGCGTCGATTTCGTTATTGTCACGTTGTTTCATCAAGTACAAAACATTAAGCTCGTTGATCTCACAGCAAAAAAAGGCGACCCAACTTTCTGGTGTGTAACGTGGGGATGACTATTCAAGTTTTCTCTAGAACCCTGTTTCGCGTCGAGTTGCCTTCGCATGTAAACACACCTAAATAGTCACACACGCATGAAATGGGCATGCTCAATTTTAGTTTTATGAAAGTGGAACTTGGTATCACTGCATCAACTGCACCGCAGCTTAATGCCTACATAGGTACATACTAGATTAAACATCTGATTTCTCGATAATTTTGATAAACTTCCCACTCGCACGGCTAGTGAAATAGCCAGAAGTAGCGTGTCAGTTCGCAATGTGTGAAGATGACAGTTCAATTCTGTGAGCCAGTGGTTTTAGCGTACTGTACACGACCGAAATTATCAAGGACAAGAATGTGTGTCCCCATACGTCTGTATGGTTGTCTACATGGACAAATGGCATAATTGAGGTTTAGACGTGAATGGGATTTCTCTAACCCACCTTCAGCAAATAAACAATACCGGTATTTATATGACAGGTTATGAAAAAAAATAACTGGAAACAGTCCTATCTGGCGACAGCACGGAGCTGGCACATAATTATTTGCGACCACTCCAATGAGGCTTTAGCATGAGCTCAAACAAAAGGTCCACAAAAAATGGCCACTGATTTTGCCTGCGGGGAAAGATTTGACGCAAATTGATGAGAAAGATCATCGCCAAACCCGAGCGGCCGAGAAATTCGTTGTGCACTAGCGACGCGCACTAACTGCGTGCCGGAGGTGGCGCCATGTTTAGCTGCGTGGCCCGCTTGAGGCACAGCTCTCGCATCTGCAGCAGGCTGCCCTCGAGACTCAGGGCGAAGAAGTCGGACGACGTTTCCGGCGAGCTGAAGAAGGAGGAGACGACGTACGAGACCTGGTCAGCACCAATGTTGTAGGCACAGCCGTAGCCGTCAGGAACCACGGCGCCGTAGCCCACCAGGATGCCTTTGTCCGTGGCGAGCTTCAGTGCAAACGGCAGTGGGAGCAGGAAACAACAGTTATCATACGACAAAGGCAACCAGGAGACGTGCTCCAATAGCCCTAAGAATTGGCTCACAGACTTAAAAGCTAAAAATAAAGAGCCCAAATTGAGATATAAGCAGCGTAGTTAATGCTTGGCGATTAGAAAGTGCCTAAAAGACAAGCGGAAGCGGTCGCTACGAAGCTGCACAGATGAATTCATTCGGTGAAAGTCACGTCGAAATTCCAGAAGAAGAGATTAGTGCGATAGAGCCGGATCATTTCCGGTGGCACCAAGGTCTAGCTTGAGCAGCTTTACAAATAACAAGAACCACAGATATAACCCAGCCCGTAAGCGTGTTCCTTCTATAGTTTGCGTGCTAGACGAATGAGATTTTCCATAATCTGCACGCAATGCACGCATCATCAAAACTTCGTAAGCTTTTTTTTTTTGTCAGTGCAGGTATACTTCCCCAGTTCACTGCATTGGTTATGGAAATTAACGTCGCTGTAAGGGGATTAGAAGCAAAGCTTTTGTATCGTGGTTTAAGCCAGCGCTAATACGCTTTACCTCTACAGGAATAGCCTCCTTGGTGAATTGGGAATAAATGAAAATCTGAAGGCTCAAAACGATCGTAGGTAACGTGGGTGCCGATAATTAACTTAGCTGTCGTGACTTATGCTTCGAAAATTTGTCACGTTGGATTATGCTGATGCCTGCTGAGGAATATTTTTGTGCGAGACCATATATACGAAGGAAAGAGCACTGTATTAGGCATATTTTGCTTGAGTAATCTTTTTTTGAAGGGCAAAATATTTTAAAGCCAACCATACTACCACGTCTCGAGCTGTGCTTGGCTCGGTGAAATGGGTGCTGTTCAATACCTTTTCGAATTTACGCTTGGGAATATTTTATATTTTGCGCATAGAATCATCCGGAAAACGCCACAAAAAAAAAAAAGCATGTGTGCCTTTTTTCCGTGTGTGTTTTCCACACACTTTTAGCTCTCTAAAAAATGGATTAGCAACATTCCCAAAGTGCAGCATTAGTGAATTACACTTCCTAAAAGGTAAAAAACAGTGAAAAATAGACGAGACGAACGAAGAAACACATGGTAGACTAACAACAGACAGTTTTATTGCTTTATGCAATATAAAACGAAGAAAAGGAAGGGAAGCAAGTCACACGGAACTTCAAGCTATTCATCTCGATAGAATGCGTAACGCTGCCAATTGACAAGATTAATTTTTTGAGGACGCACCAAGGCACACGAGATACTGTTATTCACTTCGCTTAGTGCTATGGATGGTTCACTAGCGCGTATGTCACCATTTGGTTCAATAGTGAAGGCCTTGGCTATCAAACGACTGTACATGCTTTAGTATCTTCCTATGACTTTGCACTGTCGAAAGCATGGTGTGCAACCGCACGTGCTGCAATGGAGCGCCATGTTGTTGCCTCATTTTAAGTGATGATCGTTATGATGTTCACTTAGCCGAACGAAACACCCACTTTCTGGGATCTTTTGTAAACTTTTCACACATAGGTTGGCAAAAACATTGTTGCTTGAAGCCTTTGGGCCAACAGTGCGCGTATCCTACCCTCTCCACTCTTTATTTGTGTATTTTTCACCATCAACAATACACCTGCTTCACTCTAGTTATTTACATAACTTAGCTATATACAGGGTGTCCCACACAACTTGAGCCAAGAATTTGAAAATAGAAGACACTTCAGTGGCGAGTTGAACCAAACGCGTACCACTTGCACTAGCCTGTAGGTACTAGGGCTATTTTATTTCTCCCCATACTAATAAATTATTAATTCGTTATCACCTATTTTTAGAATTATGGGCTGGAAATTGAGAATATGAACACTCAGATGTAGACCTCTTTCAGAAAGCATCGACTAATATGTTTCCTGTATGATACGTCTAGCGCTGTTATTTTTTCTGCGTTGTGAAGAAAGCCTATAGCAGCACTACAGCAGTGCGCTATGGGTCCGTCACACGGCTACTTTTCACATTTCACCGCCTTTCTTTACAACGTGGAAAAAATAGCAGCGCGAGACGTATCGTACTGGAAGGAATTTAGTCGGTGGTTTTTGCAAGTGTTCTACATCTCAGTGTTCATATTTTGCGTTTCCAGCTCATAATTCAAAAAAAGGTGATTAGGAATTATTAATTAATTAGTATGTGGCCAATTTTGATCTAACAGATCATTATCCAACATTTCTGTTATTAAAACACAAAATAATTGTAAAAATTAAACGGTCAATGGGTGTCGTTTCGATTCTGCGAAATTCGTTGATTTGGTATCCCGCTTTGACTGGGGGAAACTATCGCAAGAACCTTGTGTTAATAAAGCGTTTAGTACCTTGACTGAGAAACTAACAGGTATCGTAAACTCGTGTACATCTGTATGCACCATATCACGTTGGTACTCAGCCCCTAGAAACCCGTGGATTACTAGAGGACTGCTGCGTAGCATAAATAAAAAGATAACCTTTACAAAAAAGTAAAACTTCAGCCGTTCAACCTGTCCCTCATGACCCGCTTTAAACTATATTCACAAACTCTTACTGTCCTACTCAAAAAAAGCCAAACGAACCTACTATCAAAATAAAGTGCTTGAAAATGGGAATGACAGCAGGAAAAATTGGAACGTAATTAAGGAATTCTTACATCTTGATCAGCCAGATGCACTTGAGACCGAATTTTCGGATCGAACCAGCGTTCTAACTTGCCCTGTCACTATCGCCAATTTTTTTAATGAATTATTTTTTTCAGTAACTCAGTATTGACTGTCACTAACTTGCCTTCGTTGTCTCGCTTGCCTCACTCTTTTTTCTTAAAACCCACGTCATCTTCTGAGGTTCTTTGCACTATAACAAGTTTGAAGACGACAGGATGTGGCCTCGATTCAATTTATCTAGCTAAAATCAAACTTGTTGCTCGTGAGTTATCTTCTCTGCTCTCAGAGCTTATGAACACCGCATTTCGTTCAGACATTTTTCCTACAATTCTCAAACAAGGAAAAGTAATACCTGTATTCAAAAAGGGAGACCGAAAAGTTTTTTCTAATTATGGCCCTATAACATTCCTCCCATTCTTTAGTAAGGTAATTGAAAAACTCATTGTGAATCGCCTAATGGACTACCTAACATCATTTAACCTTTTGTCACATAAGCAGTTTGGTTTTCGTGCTAAGTTTTCTACCAAATTAGCACTCATTAAACTAACAGATAGCATAAAACAGTCCATCGATAAGGGGCTCTGGGCAGGGGCGTTATTTATAGATTTAACTAAAGCCTTCGACACAATAAACCACTCTATTTTGTATGCTAAACTTAATTCCTTAGGAATTAGTGGGCCTACTTTAGCCCTTTTACAAAGCTACCTCGCTAACAGAACCCAGGTTGTCGATTATGGCGGTGTTTTATCCTCACCAATAATAACTAACCAGGGAGTCCCACAAGGCTCAATTCTGGGACATCTCATGTTTCTTATCTACATTAACGACGTACCATCATCACTTAACTCATCTGACTGCATTCTTTATGCTGACGATACCACGATATTTTCTAGTGACAAAGATCTTAACAATCTACTAGCAATATTGAACACTGATGTCGCGAAACTTGTTTCATGGTGCAAAAGTAACTTATTGAAAATCAACCCTGTTAAAACAACTTTCATGCTATTTCACTCGTCCAAAAAAAGCGTTGCGATTTTACCCGAAATATACATTGATAACTGCTTCATCACCTCATCAAAGTTCACTACTTTTCTAGGTGTCACACTAGACCCTCAACTCTAATATAACATTCACGTGAATTCTGTCATCAAAAAGACTGCTTTTGCCATCCGCATACTCATTCGCACAAGGCATTGTTTTCAGCAACGCATTTTAAAATCACCTTACTATGCTTTCATTAACAGTCACCTAACCTATTGCATTTCATCCTGGGCCAATACCTTCGCCACACAGTTAACATCTCTCATTCACTTTCAGAAAAGAGCAGTCCAAATTATCACACATAGTTCCTACACAGCATCAGCAGCACCCCTCTTTAGCACTCTAGAAATTCTACCGTTCATTTCCACCTTTCAACTCAAACTTGGAATTTTATTATTCAAAAGTAGAGTCGGTGACGTTCCCACTGACATACTTCCGCTCACACATCTCCACATTACTAATAACACACAGTTTTCTGAAAATAGTAACCTTTTGCTTCCAAAAGTGAGCACTAACTACGGCAAAATGACAGCCTTGTTTTCTGCAATTTCTTTCTGGAACTCACTACCATCAATTATTAAATCAAGCCCCTCATTACATTGTTTCCGGCGGCACCTCAAACAGTTCTTACTAACAACATGCGACACCTGAATATATATGTATGTGTATATATATGTGTTTAAATACGGTTATATGCATTTATGTGTACGTGTATAGGTTCTGATGTGACACTGTATTAGTTAGTGATATGTATGTGTTATGTTATAGTCATTTAATCCAATTAGTTATCTACTGTTTTATCATTTACATGTAAATATTTTGAACTACCATAAGTTTCAATAATATTTTTTTGTTCTATTCGCTTACTATTTTTTCCTTAGTTGCCAATCTTTGTTCTATATTTTTATACATGAATTCTCAGGAGGTCCCCCTGGCAGTTTTTACTATGGGACCTCCTTCTGTTATAAATCAACTTTTTACTTGCACTGTATATTGTACTGAATACTGAATAAAGGAATACTAGAAATAAAAAAAATAGCCTGAGTACCCACAGGCTAGTGCGAGTAGTCTGCGTTTGGTTCAATTTGACTCCTAAGTGCCTTTCACTTTCAAATTCTTGGTTAAAGTTATGTGGGACACCCTGTATAACCCACGAAATTGCACCATTCACGGAACAATGGGAAACTTGTGTACTCCACTGCACGTGAGCCAAGCTTTCGTTTGAATGAGCAATTTCTTGAGTTTCGTTAGCGTTAGTTGAGATGAAGGTTTACTTCATGCGCTCCTAATTCTGTGAAGAAAAGGGTGACAAGTCAACCTGACTTTTCACCTTCATTCAAGGTGAAAAACAAAAAAACAAAAACAAACAAACAAACAAACAAACTTAGAGGAGCATGGAAAAACATCGTGTAGTATTTACTTGCATGTACGTGTACATCACTTTTGAAGACTGTTTATCGGTTCGTCTGAATAAAGTCGGATCTGAAGCACCAGAATGAGTTCAGCAGCTGGCGGTGACTTTTAAGTTATCATCTTGCGTGCAAAAATAATAAACAAGCGGTAAACAGGTGATGTACCTGACTTGTGGATAGTCTGAAGTGGAGGAAGTCGGTGTACGACTTGTCATTGAAGATGGGCGCCGGAATCTCATGCAGCCTGGCCATTTCCCGGAGTCCCAACAGGTGGTTGTCCGGTCCCTCGCCATTGACCGTCTGCACAAGTTTTCATGCGCTGCTGTCACGCCGAAGCTCATCATGTAGCGAAGCAACGTGATGAACCTAACTTCGAGTTCCCTAATAACTCTTGCTGAGAAAATTCCTCCGATACACGTCACGCAAGATAACGTGCGCGACCACCATCTTAAACCTCATCACGTAGCGCCGCAATGCGATAAACGTGACTGGACAACTCCTTCGAGTTCCCCGTTCCCGTCTTGAACGTCCTTTAATAGTGGGTCACGTAAGGTAACGTACGCGGAAATACGACCCGTAGGAGTGATGGGACACTGAAGCTTGAGTTAGTTTAGTTGCAACCGTGGTGCAATCTGAAGGGGATTATCGGTCGGGTGAGTGGCATGGGTGTAAACTCTCAATTTGTATAAAAGAGAACATACGAACGCGTCGCCTGCGCGCTCCGCCGGCTGCTGGCAGCGCGTTCAAGCGGGAGCGATAGGAACCAGAGCCTATTTTTGCGGCATCTTGTGGCGAGCGAAACATTCAGTGATTGGTGGTATGAAACAAGAAGCAAGATTGCACCCCCCTCCCTTCAAGGCGATTACTGGCTCTTGCGTAATCGCATTGAATGGGGAGGGGATTGGAATTTTGCTTGTTGTTCCGTATCACTAGTATTCATTTTTATCTCTGAAAGTTTTGTTCTTGCACTTCCGTGGATCGTTGGTGGCTGTGCACCACAAGCGTGACAAAACACTGGCACGGAACCACCTAGTTTGTGTAGTGTTGATAGAAAATGAATACGGCAGCGTTTACGAGCTGAGCTCATCCTTGGCCGTTCTTACCCAAAACGTGCGGAAACACAACCGCCCTTGGTATGAAAGGACTAAATTGTTTCCACATGCAGCTGAAAATGCTGTCGGCGCAATCGCCGTTTAATATATTCCATCTGAGCTAAGCGAGAGGTTCATCAAAACTTGTAATTCGCCTGTATGCGAGATGCATTCGAAAACCATTCTAATCCAAATAGATCTCGTTTGACTGCTATAACGGACAAGGTCTCCCTAGGAGAGGAAAATAAGACAGGGACGTGCAAGTCGATGCCGCTATCTTGGCCACCATCTCAGTTTTAAAACCAGCCTCGGTGCGATGGTGCCATGAGCGGGATGTCGACCATATTTATGTGTGAGATAACACTGTGGAAACGTGTACATTCAGCATTTATCGCATCTCCTAGTTTACTGACAAAAACACCTCGAAAGGCATCAGCCTAATAGGTTGACAAGGGACGATACGCGATCGTGCAAACAAAACCTCGTATATATTCTCAGGAAAGCCGCTCCCGGTTCGAGATCGAAACCTGGATAAGCTTTCTTCGCGAACGACGTTTTATCGCACTGCAAACTGTTACGGACAGTGCTTACTATAAATGGTTGCTGGGAAATCCGAAACCAGCGCAAAGACTTTTGGCCCTAGTTGTGCAGCGAAGTTTACCTGCATACGTTGACGCCAAGAAACACTGCGTTAATTTTGTTTTGATTGTGTGTATTGGTGACTAAGCCTATGAGGCACAAAACGCACAAGTCATCAACAACAAAAGAGAAACGATGTTGGGCTAGTTGGTGTCGCATGGTCTGAAGTGAGTGACAATGCGTACGACACGGACACACAGAGAACAGCAACATGAGCACTGGCGAACAGCGTTTTTTTCTTATTGCACCAAAGATAATAAAAATAGCCTGTCCTGCATGTGCGAAATCACGAATGAAATTATAAACGAAGATGATGAAAGTACATTTTTGGTCGCGTTTAAAACCTTCATAATCTCGAGAAACTCCAAAGAAGCGTTCTCTAGGTACCCGATTTTTCTTTCGCTCAGAGACATAAAAGCCATGCTGACGCCTGAAGAACGCTTTTTATGAATAGCATAAGCTTAATCCACCACAAGCTTTCTTGAAGGAGCAGGGGAGCAATTGGGCTCTTCATTGCGGAACCTGCGGAGCTTCACCAGACATAGGCGCTTGCATGGATTTAGGCAGACATCGTCAAGAAGGCGTGCGTTTCATGCTGCAATCCCACTATGATGATTTTAGAATATTGTCTCCGTAGTTGCTCCTTCTCCCCTCGTTATTGGGAATCAATGCGATGAATAATAATATAAACTCAAATTTTCAGCACGGCTAACTTAGCACACTATAGGAGTGCTATGAAAGCCATTTTTGCCTAGTTAATATTTTGTGATGGTCTAACCAAGTTAAAAAAGGTTGACTCACGTATGTCAGTATTTCCGTTCCTTTGGCCACTGCTTCTAAGAAGAGTTGAATTTTGTCTTCTTCCTGAGTGAATAAAAAAAAAAGACAAAGATTGCTTCGCAATTTTCTAAGGGAGTAAAGGCTCATAAACTTTGGGGGACAGCTTGATGTGTTCGTGCTAGCTATACCTTCATGTTCTCGCCGCCATTTTAAACTTTCTGAAATATCGACTTCCTTGCTTGCTATTTGTACACGATGTCTTTCTTCACTTGTGAGGAAGTTAAAATTTGGCATGATTGGTACCGTTTTCGAGGATCCGTTTAGTGAAGGGACTCACCATAATTTTGTTTTTGTTCCTATACAGCCGTAATCTGTTTGTGTGACTACTTTAATGTCCCTTCATATCCGTTATCTTGTTATTTTTTCCACAGTTGCGTTTTCAACACACTCGACAACCACAGGGGTTGCCTCAAGGAAAGAATGCTTGATATGAGTCACATCTATGTATCTCATGAACACACTTATAAAAAAAGATGGGGAGACGAAGACGGTCATGCGAGGGTCTCACCGCTAACGAAAGCTTCACGGGTGACATGTTTCAGACACCTGGTTCAAATGGTTGTGTCCAACGAAGAAACAACATATTCGACTCATTGCCCTTTTTTTTTCGTTCTCGCCATATGCGACGCGAGTATACGCCGGCTACTGCTTTAGCGAACCATCAGGTGAGCGGCTGCACGTCTGGGTTGTACCACTTGCCGTGTTGAGCACTTGCAACGAAGGAAAGAGATGGAGAAGTCGTGATAGAGGTCGACGTGATTACCTGCAGACTGGGGCAATGGCGACGCGATGATTCCAGTTACCCGCGATCACCTCCGTCAGTGAAGTTCTACGCACACTCGTGAGAACCAACTCGAAGTATTCATCATATCGTACGCGAAAAGCTGAACATATACTCTAGTATGTACCAGCTGTCATAAGAGAAGGTCTAAACAGGTAGCATTGCTTTCAAGACTGGTTCCAGACCGCGGGCTAATAACAAAGGTACACTGCACTCACCTTGAAGGTTCTGCGTGCGAAGCTTCCTTATGAAGTCCCACTTACCTCCTTTGAAGGAGAGTTCTAATCTGGATCAGTTGGTACCTGATCTCGAGGATTGTAACCATGCAAGCCAAAAAACGAAGCACAGATGGGGGAAAGTTGCATGCATACAGCGACTGGACTAACAAAAAGGTGCTATCAGTGCAGCCATGGTGTATGCAATTGTTCTCCTCTGTGCTTCGTCTCTTGGCTGGCTCTAGATCTCAAGAATTAGCTCACTTGGCCTGCTCCACCGAAAATACCAAGAGTCATCCTTCAACTATATTCTTCTCTGCCTCATTGGCAACAGCGTAATTAACGACAAAAATGGTTATACACCACTCCTGTTGGCACCCGTTTGTCTGTGGGCCTTGTAAAACGCAAGTGACACACGAGCTTCAAACATACTTGAACAATTGTTTACTCTTTTGTGTTGGTGCGGATTCAAGTCGTGCATTCGATAACGTCACTTTCTTTCAACGGAACTCTCTGGCTCATACAGTATGCACATAAAAAAATCGTGAAAATGAGGTTACCAATATGTCCACTAAATTCTCGTTTAGAGAATGCATGCCTCGCCGCCAACGTTTTCGGCAGTCTATGACATCGAGAATTCGCGCCCTCCTTAAGCTCAGTGTATTGATTATTCACGCCCCCTATTTGCTTTTCGACCAGTTCCATCAACGGGGAACCTTTAAAACATAACACTAACATACTTGCGCTCAAATCACTTCGCTGAAGTGTGGCGCAATCACCCTTGAAGTGCCAAGCTTGGCTCCGTTGGGCTTTTCGACCCGTTTTGACTTCCAAATTGAACTATATGACCACGTGAGAGCTCAATTGTGCTTCAGAGTTATGCTCTTTTGGGGAGCGTGGCATAAGTAATCGCCAGATCTTCGACAATGACACCGTTACACTGAGCTTACAGACACGTGGTTTTTACCTTTTTTTTGCGCAGGAGAAATTTATTTGTTATATGTTTGTGTCAATGAGACTACTTATGCATACTGACTGATTGAAATGTTACAATTTAGGGCTAAGTAACGCACGTACTTTCGTTTACACCAGCTTCAGTTGAGGCCATATTGATGTAGTTCCAACTTGGACTAGCAGATCAGAACCCACATTATTCTTAGAGCCCTCATTCGTCGCGACTTAGGGGTGTTATCTCTAACAATTTTGCATATCAGTCGTAGCGCCGTATCAGTCGATGGCGCTTTTGATGTCACGTTCGAATCTCTGAGTACTATACCCACCTTATCTCACCATTATGCTCGACATCTTTAGCCTGTACAGCCGTCAGCCCCATTAACACGAGCACTTCAATGCGTGGCCAGGGCTAGTTTGATTGATGCCAGCCGCGAAGTGCTGGGTGCTTTTGCCGAGATAATACCCTGGTAGGCTTGGATAGTATGTCGGCATGCATGGTTAGCATCTTTGCAACAGAACTTAAATGTACGTAGTGTCAGCGTAAATCAAACTGCTGCAGGACACGTGGTGGAGCGTTCGTGCTAAAGGTGCTGACGGCTGTACAGTACGCAATTCATTATTGAACTACTATAGTGGAACAAAACCCCCCTTTCTTACGTCTCTTTACCATAAAAAAACTAAGTAAATGACAAGCGCTTGAAATTACATTATGCGGTTTCCCGAAAGTATTGCATGAGGTCGCAATGGTAGTGGTGGCTGATAGTATTACTGACTTTCAAGTCGTATTATTTAAAAACTGGAACAAGAGTGCAGCTGCAATAATAAACGCGTATCTCTCGCCTTGCCATTTCTACATTCCTGCAGAGTATGCAATGATGGAGGTCACGATGTCCTTAACAAAGAAAACACGCGCACAGTTTCAACATGGTGAGCCACTGCAAAGCTCACCGTAGCTGGCACGGCGTCGCACATGGCTTGAACCCAGGCGAGTGCCTGCGCCGTCGCGGCGCGGATGTTGTCCACGCGGCCCAGGTGGAACTTGCGCAAGGATGCACTCTCGTATGTCGACACCAGTTTGCGGTGCACCCTGCGTGGTACGAAAGAAGAGAGGCGCTCGCATTAATGAAAACCGCGGTTCCCGAAAATGCCCGTCGACAACCCAACAGACGGGCAATACGGAAATCGAGCACGGGACGTGGCTGTTTCAAGCTAGATCGTATCTAATTGTCCTAAACTATATACCATAGGGCGTACAAGAGGGACAAACGCAAATTAGCGAAGAACGCTCGATTCTCGTTGTTTTTGTCACCCACGTGAATTACAGCACATTTGCAAGTTCATTTCTTATTTTTTACAGAAGTACTGCAGGTCACTTGGCTTATGCAGGAGTCGAAATACAAAACCACAAAACAATGAAAAAAAAGGAAGATAACGAGGAGTACGACGAACGGAATCTGAAAGAAATGAAATTAATACATTTTGCGAAAAGGCAATACAAATAAATGGGTGGTAGTATAGTAACAGTTAAATAAATTAGCAAACAAATGAAGTAGAACCAATTTTTATTAGCCTTTGCAAAAGAGACTATACAAAGTAACCTAGGAGGAGGCACTCGACTGTTCTAAGCACAACAGTTGGTCAGAAGACAGATCATTCCGATCAGCAATCGTTTGAGGAAAGAAGGAGAATTTAAATTAATTCGTTTTGGCAAAATAAGGAGTCAATTAAAGCGCATGAGTATGACGAGTACGTCAGGAATCAAGTGGATATAAGTATGGTGCTGGGTCGAGCCAGGGCTTTCGATTAAGCAAGAAATATAATAATGATTTTAAACGTTGATTCTTTCGTAGGGACTGCAATAAAAACACCTGTTGTGATTCTATAAATGACGTGACGGAAAACTGGAGGCCATATATAGCGAAAATGAACAGTACTGCCTTTGGCTGGATTTTTTTCCATCGCGTTTATGTTGACGTTGGTCTACGAGTCCCATTTTGTAAAAGCGTATTCATCTCTTAGGCCGGATCAGGTGTTCATACGCCAAGCGTTTAACATGTGATGGTGAATTTTTAATCTTGTGTTGGAACACTTACCCCCGTATTCTAGAACTTCCCTTCACTCAACGCTTCACCTTCACTTGAGAAAGCAGATTGGAGCGCCGTCTCTAGGCACGGTAAATCACTGCATATCAGCGGCAATCTGCTGTGATTTCTGAGTAGCGCAGCGTCATTTTTAGCTGAGTGGTGGCGCAGGGCTCAGCTCGATCAAGTGAAGGAAGAAAGTCGAGTCGAGGAGCGTTTGGGAATACGGTGGTTAGGAGCCTAGCCGAAGTGGTATAAACCTATTTTTTTTGTGAACAGTGGTAGGCGACGTCGAGATATTGAGGCGCTTGTGGCGACGTCGCGGCGTGCAGGCTCAAAGCTCAAAGCCCGCGAAAGCCCAAAGCTCGCCACCGCCCTCTATGATCACGTGACAACAGCAGCTGCAAAGCTGAGCACAGCGCGTAGAGGAACGCTTGTGGCACAACGCCACAAGTGTTCTGGGCGGAATTGACCAAGCTCTTCGTTCATATATGTTCTTCTATGACTGACTGTCTTCGCGGATATTGTGTCCCACCCCAGTATTGGCTGTGAAATGCTCTTGTAGACAATTGTAGCGTAACAAGCGTTGTTAGTTTTTGTTGTTAGTCGGGGAGTTGCTGCACAAAGCTTTTTGTTGCTACGTATGCTTCGTCACAGACAAACCGGCTTCAGTAATCACATGCCGCTTGTTTGTCGACTGAATTTTTGTTTGATACTTACTGCAGCTGCTATGAAAGAAAATCTAGCGTGCATGAATTTTTATGACCGAACATTTGTTCCTTTTCTTCACACTTATGTAGGCAGGACGCAGTTAATATTTTTAGAACCACCATTTTCTCCGTATGTGTACTGGCACTTAAGACACTCAATGTGAAACTTACTTGTAAAAGGTCAGTTGTAGAGCTAGTTGTATGTACACATCGGGACTGATGCGTTGCTCTTTGATGAAGTTTTTGCCGTAGTTCGGGAAGTGCAGAATGTACAGGTCCACGTCTTCCGCCAGGCTGCAAAACACATTGCACACAGGCTGTATCCCTGCACAGTTTTTACCTTTGCGTAGGACGACACGTTCCAGCCCCGCAAACACAACGCCTATCACAAAGCAGAACTTTAGCTATTATTATTAGTTATAGGTCGAGAACATTTATACTGAAGGCATCGAATTCCGCCATTTTGCTTCGTTCGCCAGTCTTCGGGCACTATAACGAAAACACGGTGCTTCTATATCTAAATTAGGGTGTGAGTCGGGGGCCAAGGCATGTTGATTATTGGAAAACTGTTAAACGAGTGTTGCTTCCCTATTTATATAGCATTGAATACGTCAAAAATCTTACTATTGCAGGTATATTTAGTATTAGCGCGACACGAACAACGTCCAAAAAGCGCGCCATCACTAAGATAATGATATATACGAAGTCTTTGTCAGGTCGTATAAAGCTGTTTTCATTTCCCTCTATTCACAGTACTGCAGTGATGACATGAGAACTGGCGCACAGTTTATATTGGACTTCTCGAGCAGCTGCTGGTGTATTGCTCCATTATTACACATGTACTCTTTCTACAGCGCCAAACGACGGCATTCATCTTCAGCGACGATATCCAACGCCTGATTGAAGCGGCTTTGAAACGTTCCTGTTTGTTCCTTCTAGCATTTCTATTGCTTTGAAGTCCCTCCTTGCTCAGAGGGGTACCTTTTTAAAAACCCGGATGGAAGCCCCGATGGAACCCACAACAAGTCAATTTCATTGACCGGGATAATCAAGGAAGTTAGTGCGACGCATCAACACGGAAAACACCGGGAAATGTGTCTGATGTTGCGTGAGACACACGAGTGTTTGAATTACCGCCACTGAGTGCTTCATAGCGATAAATATAGGATCGCAAGCAACTTCGCCACATCAAGTGCTTAGCGACCATTCTCCCATTGCAATGCAAGCATGAGGAAGAAGATACAAACGAGCAGTGTTGCTTGTCCTACAAGATATCCTTCAATTGCCTGAACTGCCTACCCGCTAAGCTTTGGCGTAATATGCCTCAAGCTGATGTGATGGGCGCTTTCTCAAATGTAGAGGGCTGCGAAAACCGGCACTGGTGGGCTCCAGTACCGACTGGCTCACTCAGAACGACAAGGAGAAGGGGGAAATGTCCGTAAATACAAACTACAGTTTCGATTAAAGAAGCAATTTTTAAAGCAGAGGATTAGAGGGAACCTCCATGTTTTGTATGTGCGTGCGAAATTCTTGAAGAAACCCGCATACGCCAACGTGAAGGCAAGCAACAGGCTGCAAGCGCAACGTACGTGTTGATGGCCTTGGTGGCGTCCTGGAGAGCTTTGAGCATGTCGTCACCGAGGTCCCAGCTAAGTCGGGACACAGGGTACGAGGAACACAGGGAGCTTGTTCGAATCGACGGTGAGCCAGGATGAGGCGTCTGCTGCTGATGGTACTGCTGCCTGCCCAGAAGAAAGGAGTACGCACGTATGAGAATTATCATACGTTGAGAGGACAACAAATCGGCGCAGTCAAGAATTTTTTTTTATTCTCGTTGCGGGTCGGCTCAAGTGGTATTAATTTGCGAGCTTGTTCGCTGTAGATAGTGAAATAGCCTGAAGGAGAGCCTTTTCTTTAATAGGCGCTAGGGATGGCTGGCCGTCCACACGCCCTGCATGGCACTCCTGATGACCCGCTCATGTACAGCACACTCGCAAAAAAGGTAGGAATTATGGGACGAACACCACTTATCCTCCTTTTGTATCCATTTTTGTAGTTTTGTATTCTACTGGCAAGCTTCCCTGCTTTTCCTCCGACTAAAGAAATCTTTGTCATTATTGATAATTTTCAATGAGGTATATGCTTAAATCCCGAGAGGTTGAGATCTTTGTTAGTGCTTTTTATTTTTTCACCAGTCTCCTCGATGCGTCCTTTGCAATGCAGACGAAAACGCAATCATATGGCGGCGCGAAAACAACTAAATTAACAAGCTCATAGGTCTGGTGACTTGGGCTGTTGCTTCAACGAATACAACCTCATGGGCACTTACATCACTGAGACACCGGTGAAAAAAAAAGGTATAAAAAGAAATAAGAGTTAGAAGTGCGAATTGCGACACTCGGATATTAAAAATGCGCATCTGATGTGCTCAGCTACAGTACCCCTGTAACGCTAGGCGCAGTTTTCTCCCGAGCTTCCCTTCAAAGCTTCAGATGGGGCGCATGGCGCAAGAGACGTGTAGAACAGGTCTGCAGATCTTTTCATGACTTTAGTTCGAAGAATAATAGCTGGATGAGTAAAGTCACAAGCAGTTTTACCTTATTACCTCCTGTGAACTTGTTCGTTATTCTTACGAAGCTTTACAACAAATGCTGCTTTAATGAAATATATTGCTTTGTAAACACCTGAACATCGTAAATTCACTAACATTTCTAATGACTTTGCAGTGAAAATATTTAGAATTTAAAATGCCTACCTTTTGATTCGGTCATAGCGGATATTTGTTATGATTATCCTGCCTACTATAAATCCCTTTTTACCTGTTTAAAGCGGTACATCTTAGTTATGAATATCTTGTCATTTTGTTTTCTCTTCCCGTACGCTGATGATATGATATGACAGCTTGAAGTATGCTGGTATTTTCGAGTGACGGCAACATGAGTTGTCACGATAACGAAAAAATATAAAAGAATTCGATGTTGTGTTGATGTTGTTACGGTACAAAGCCCAGTCATCTTCATAAACAACACGTGTGACTGAATTGAGAAGGGTTTTCACTTGTAAGAGCTCTTCCCCACTGAAACGTCACATTCGCTAATATGCCTCAACACTTCAGCTGGCGAACCGCTGTTTCAGCGTTAAAATGTTTTTTTTATTGAATATCAACACAACTTTTCTTAAAATATTTCTTTGCAGAACTTGCAATGCACGTGTGAAACACTCTCCAACTTACATGTGCTGAAGGAACTCGTCGCAGAATCTGAGAACGGTGATTCCTTCAGAGGCCGAGTGCTCGCAGATGACGCCGTTGATTCCGTCACGGCTGACGACTACCTGGCAACCGGCAGTAGTAGGGTTGAGAAGGATGGGAAAAAGAGGGAAAGAGAGAGAACAAAAATCAAGTGATCTTAAAATCGGCAGTCCGCTTCCTCTGTGGCGCAAAGCAAGACGAAAATTCATGGTTCGTAACAAAATAGAAAACAGACGTCGTAACTGGGGGGGTAGCGCATGAGAGGCTGTTAAGGTATATCTTTAATGTTTTGACAGACTTCACTGGTAGTGTCACAGCTAGCGCTTCCACCCCCTGCTATCGCTCGTCTTATAAGCCTTGAAAGAGGCTCCTAGGACCACTGAACTCTGCTCATTAAAAATCCCCTTCTATTTAGTCATTATAATCTTTGATGTCACACATTGTGTGATGACGTAAAAAACATATATGTGGTGCTACGAACTAGACTTCATCACCTCCCGAAAGATCAACGTCTCTATTTCAACGTCTGTGCGCATTTACGTAGAGGGATGTACCACTATCTACCTCGGTTGCCAATTTATTGTATAGTGGCCAAACGATTCAGAAGGAACTGGCGAAAAACAGCTCCACGAATTGACGGCGAGACATCATCTTATACATGGATCATTACTAAGGCACATACACACATACGCAGCGACATGTGATTTCACCTCTGTGTACTTACTTAGCTGAGTTGCGTGTAGTTGTATAGTGTGTGACTTCCCGGAAACGGTGCGCGAATCTCGGCCTTTCGTGGCGTTTCCGGTATGTCTTTATATGAGGATATTTTGGACTCTCTGACCGACATTATGGTAACTTTTGTCGGAACTTGTCGTTTATGACTCCATGTAGGCTATGTCAGGAGTCGCGCCTGATGTCGGTGCGTTATATTCCGTGGCAATATACAACCACCGAATGAACACTCTTGAACGCTAGCTACTATGCAAAGGCTTACGAAAGAAAGATTATATGTGGGCTTTACGTCCCAAAACCACCATATGAGTATGAGTGAAGGACTCCCGAAATTTTAGCCACATGTGGTTCTTTAACGTGCACCCGAATCTGAGCACACGGGCCTACAACATTTCCACCTCCATCGGAAATGCTGCCACCGCAGCCGGGATACGATCCCGCGACCTGCGGGTCGGCAGCCGAGTACCTTAGCCACTAGAGCACTGTGGTGGGGCTACGAAAGAAAGAACTAGAGAGGGCATGATGCGTCCCTTACCTGCATGAACTTGTCGTACCAGCGGTTGGCGGCGTTTCCGTCGGCCACCGAGCCTCCGTGAAGCAGATGGGCAGCCTGCGTTCCCAGGTCGAGCGTGACGGACTCGCGGCGCAGGCTGGCGTAATGGCGCCGCAAGGTGCTGAGCGGCCGGTCTAGGCACACCACCATCAGGCACGTCTCTAGGCTCTGCAGTGAGCTCTGGTTCACGTTGCCTGTATCGCGAGCCACGGCACATCCAATTACGGGTTGCTTCGAGTGGATACTCAGTTTTCATTGTAGCTCCTGAAGTCGAGCGAAGGTACAAACTTTCATCACGCATATTTCCAGTACCACACGTTTAACTAAACTGGCAACGAGATGAAAAAAATGAGGCATTTAACGTTCCCGTACTGATATAGTCATACAGTGCCTATAAAAAACGCCAGGCCTGCTCAGAAGGCGTTGCGTGCACAGTCACAGAGAAAGCTAGAAGAGTGGCCTTTCAGAGCCTTTCCTAAACACTCATTGTGTAACTGTTGCAAGCACACTTGCTTGATACCCACTACGGGAGTAATAATGAAAATTTTAGGGTAGTAGGCCAGCATTCGTTATGCTGCCTTTCGTCATTTTTCTCATAAACGTGGTATCCAATAATCACTTGCAAGGAATTTTGTGCCAATTGTTCACGTAGTGGTTGGCGACGATGAGGAATTATGCCTGAAGTGGGTACGCGCCACTGTTAATAGCTGAACAAGAACAAGCTTTTGCAATGGGTTGGAACATTGAACGGACCACTCATTACGGTATTCGCATTGTGTAACGACTGATTGTTTTTTCACTGTTTTAAAACGCTTTATTAGTCGTATTAACGCAATTGCTTTCCCGACATCAAGCCTGCATAAGGCAAGTTTGCCAACAAGTCTCAAGCACTAGTGTGGTACAGTGGTAGAATACTGGGCTTGCACCCAGTGGACCCGGGTTCGAACCCCACTGTGTCATTCGCGCTTCTTATTATATAACTCTGAGCAATGTGCTTACGGACACCGGCGGCGGCGGACAACTGCGCGTGACCCGAGTTGTGATCTCATGGTAGCTTTTACTGTAAAACGTTTCGTTGGACGAGTAAGTTCACGACTTAAGGGCGGATGCTAACTTTCCCATCTGACATCACCTTAAGTCTTGGCAAGCGTTCTAACTTTTAAAAGCCGCGGTTTCCTTTAACCCAACTTTCTCGCGTTGACGAGGTCAATATGTGTCAACTGGGTAAGCAATCATGAAGACGATGCGCCGATTTTCTGGCTTTTCTGGCGAGTTTCACCTCAAAGAAAATTACGGCAGCAGGTATAGTGATTCAACAAAGTGCACATCCCTCTTCCTCACAAAGCCCTGCACGTTCTTTGCTTACAATGCGAAATGTTCGCATGAAGGGCTTGACTCAGAAAAATGAAGCATTGGGAAAATTCGTCCCAATATGTTTCTGGGGCGAGTCTCAATAAAGAGGCACGTGTACTCACTGCGTGCCAGCTTGACGTAGATGCCGGCCCATGTGCGCCTCTGTTCAGTCGTGAAGACTCCCACGGAAGGCTGCCTTTCTGAAGGGTCTTTTGCCTGCTGTTTGATGCTAAGCAGCTGCCGCGTCAGCGCCTCCACATCCAGCGGTCCTTGGTCTAGGGGAAGGCGCAGCTTGAAGAACTGCGAGAACGTGGCAGAAAGTTTTACTCACGCGTTTATTTTGGTGCCAAATGCGAGGTTTTCTTCACCAACTGAAATGGACGAAGCGTGATATACGGCAGAGCTTCCCTTTCTTCTTCGACTAAATGTGAAAACAGAAGGGCGAACGTACGGTCACAACAGCGACCGGCCACCTCGAAATCGTGAATAATAAATACTACTACCACCACAACAACACAGATAATATTGACACTGAAAACTAAACTAGGAAAAGGTTGGAGGCGACCCTAATCTTTGACTCAGATGTCTAGTAGTGGCGCTAGCACGTGTATTTGTCAGGATAAACGTGTGTTCTCGCATGCTGCCGAAACGGGTCTCGGAGGCCACATAGAAGAAGGCACGTGATTGAGATCTACTCCACCAGATGCTGCAGCGATCACAAGAAGACCGTCTGCTCTTTCAATAAACTAATCCAATTATTAGTCATTAATAATCCTGGTAGTTCGTTGGCCCTTATCCTAAAGGGACCCTAAACCTCCTCCGATATTTTTTCAGACATTTCAAGTAAACACACGCATCGTGTGAAAAATGCTGTCGCGATCAACGATTCTACATGGGTCGGTGCTACAAGCCGCGGGTGCACCACAAATTCCAAGCAACAACTTTTCCTTCTTTCTGAGTCTCCCAGGCATCCATGTGACTTGCCGCACGAATGTCTGTGACACGCCGTTCAAATATGCTGTGATTGGTGGAGCAAGAAACCACGACTTCTGGGTAGTCTGCAAGCAGCTGTCCGTGCGGCTTGTTCGCCGTGTTGCCCGCGCGCGTGGGCACGGGTCCATCGTGTTGGCGACCATTTGAAGGCGTGCGCACAACGCAGGGTGCATACCAGTATACGATTCATATAATCACGGGCCGGCATGACAGCCGCGGTTCGCCAACAAGCACGGAGTTGACGCAGTCTACGGAGGGACCGAGTCGCGGGACCAGAAGTAGACGAGGTTTAAAGCACCGCGTCAGCGATGACGTATGCCACGCGATATTGGAAGGGGCATGGGAAGGGCGCTCGGTGAAAGGGAAAAACGGCTTTGGGAGAGGGCACCATGGAGGGTAGCGAACGAGAGAGCGAAAGGAGTGATCGTCGTAGTTTTGATAATCAAACGCGTTTAAGCCTGCTATTACGGCACTGTTCAAAATTTCTTTCACGGTTCCGTCTCCGTCGTACACTCGTGCACAATTTCCCCACCACAACTGAATTTCTACCTCTGGGGTATAATATTACGGATATGTGTACTTGAGTGTATTTCTATTTGAGTGCTTATTTTTGAATATAATGTTATTTTCCGGCATATATCTATCAAAATACCTTTTTCATGTGCCATTTTGGGGAGGCGAAATTCTTCCTAAACTATAACTTTAGCTAAGTAAAATACCATATCACGAAAACGTGGGATCAGAACTGTGAGCAGTGCAACAAAAATGTATGTTCTAAACTCATTAGAACAAAAGGTACAGCATATAGAACGTTACGAGTGAACGTCCAGCTTGAAATTGACTCACTTAGGAATGTTCAACATATCATAACTCATGTTCGAATGGGTTTAGAACATACAATTTTATTGCACTGAACACCATTCTGATTCTGAATTATTGTGATACGCTGATTTACTCTGTAATGTTCTCAGTTGAAAAAAAAATCTTTCTCCAAAGAGCTCGTTAGATATTTCGTATTTTAAAAAGTACATATTATACTAAAAAATAACTGAATATTTGAAATAGATAAACACAAACTCAAAGAGTTTGATAAATGTAGCTAAGAAATAAAAAAATGAACAACATTATCTCTCCTCAATGCGCTTTCAAGTGTCACTGAAGTTAGAACCTTATATAAACATCAACGTAAATGCTGCATCATACTGAATACGCTTTAAACAGTTCTTTTTTTTGTGGATGATTTTAGAAGTTTTTGGTTGTGATGCATTGACAGCTGCTATCTCAATGAGCTCGTCCGTCGAAAAACATTCCCTGTTTGCTACTCACAGCGCGCACTTGTCCGAAGTAAGACGCTCGAAATGGTGCTTCATGTTTCGTGTTAAATCGGGCGAAAACATGCCGTGCCTGCATTTCTGTTTGTTTTGCAAGCCTTGTGTTCAGCCACACTTTCTGTGATGCCAGTTTTTCTACGCATATCAGCGGCAAGGCAATATCCAGAGTTTAAAAGTAGCGTGAAATGAGGTTACCTTGTGACAGAATTCACACGTTTTCATTCCCTTGTTGAAGAATTATCTACATGAAGGCGAATGAATAATGGCACAACATTTCGAAATCTCTCTTGCACGATGGGTTGTTCTACAAATGCGCATTTTTAATTCAAACTGCTATATTAAGGTTAAAAGCTGTCCCAATGTTCCCCCTTCATGTGGGGCAACTTTGTGACGCCATTGTTTTTGACTGGATATGGTTGAAAAAAAATCTGGCACAAAGTCACCCCATCAAAAGTTTATTTGAGTTACCTACATTTGGTTTCTGTTCTAGCAGCGGTAAAATTTTATGAAAACTTATTCGTACATCTCCCTCCTCCATCAGGACCTTTTACCTCAAAGATGCCCCGTTTGCCTACTGGCATGGGGATTCAATTGGGTACAGAATTTCTTTTTTAGTACGAAATTGCGTCTTCGTAATCCGGCCATGTCCAATTCTTTTGCGTCCTCTCCATAGTGCTGACGATGTTCCCGTTAGGTTTGACTGCCGTCAATCTTTCCGGCTGAAGTTGTCGTTCAAAGTTTACTACGACGAAGTCATTCTTTTTGAAAGTTATTTCTCCGGACCCCCCCCCCCCCCCCCCCCCCCATGGGCCCTCAATACGTCGCTAGTATTTGGTATCACGGAAGTGGTAGGAGTGTACGTTTCAGATAGGTTGTCAAGACTTCTGGAGAGAACCTCATAACCACTTCTATCTCCTTTCGACCACCTTTTGTTGTCACCTCTGAACCATGCATCTGGACACGATTCGTTTTCACTGCTTTCTTCTGCGCTGTTGCCCTCAAAAGGAGACGTCTTCCTAGGTCATACAGCTTTGATACCGTAGAAAGAACTGCCCTTCTTGGGGTAACTTTGCGACAGCTGGCGTGTGATCAAGTCACCCCACAAAGTATCAACATTTCAGTTTCCTTTTTATAAGAGTAAACAGACAGTACTTCATCGAGTTTATACGACAGTTTATTTTAGTGTGCATAACAACCACAAGTAGATACCACTTTTCGCTGTTTTCCTTGCGGAAACGGGTTGACCCCCCCCCCCCCCCCCCCAAAAGTTCATGGTGCTTCAAGAATGCGCGCCAAAGCACCATTCAAAATGTCGGCATCTAGAGTGGATATGCAGCATGGGAACTTCACCCATCTGTCGCTAGGTCACTTGGCATGTCAGGCAAGATTTTGAGCGGCCTATTGCCTTTCGGCGGCCTCTGGTCGGGGCGCGAGATTCAAAGTACAGACACCCGAGTGCATGTCACAAAGTAACCCCATTTTACGGTACCTTGTAAGCGGTGTTCATTTGTACTCAACCACGTGAGATCGTTATTTTTACCCAATATTAAGGAGTTTTAGAATAGTGGACACAAGAAGTTTGGGTTTCTATGCCGTTGGCGTGTGTTCACTTTGTGTCACGCAGTAGCTAAAAGTTTTCAAATAGCAGGTCTTTCGACTCTCACCCTACTCCAGGTGACTAGTATTTGCCGAGAGCCGTCAATTTAGTGGGTGCCATCACGTTTGTATGACGCTAAGATTTTGGGGCAGGCTTTGGGGCTTCCAATAAACTCGAGAAATAGCGTCTCCAACTCAAAACCTGAGCCCTGTTTGGGTCTCGCGCATGCGCAGTGACCTCGACGCTATTTCTATAGGGCCCCGAAACGATTGGGGCCTCTATTAGAAAACTCCCTAATATTATCTTTATTTTCAAGCAGAGCATTTATGAATCATTGGTGTACCGCCTATCGTAGAATTGTTTACATTGGATTATTCTTACAACGTCCCTAAAAAAGAGAGAAAGAGAGAGAAAGAGAGAGAAAGAGAGAAAAACTAGGGAAGAAGATAACAGAAGCTAGGACTAATATTCAGAAAACAACTATTCATCGGCATTGATCTCTGAGCAAGGCATTGTTTGTTAACAAAAACTTTCAGATGCCATGCAGTAGCTTAGTGGCGATGACACTGCGTGGGCGGGGATGGAGGTATCGGGTTCGATTCTGACTATGACGGAAAAATTTGGATAAAAGTGAAATGTACGTAAACACGCTCATTTGGGCTTGCATTTATACGTATGTTGTGGACGTGACCGAAGTTAATCCAGGGAGTCTCTCATGGCGGCGGATTTCATAAGCAGATCGCGGGTGCCGGTGGCCCATGTATCGCCAGAATTGGATTTATTTTACCACAATGTTACTCTATTTCTACGCAATATATTTTGCAGTGATTTACACCTTCGAAGGACGCGCACCTATGATGAACACACACAGACACGCATGAACGCCATGGAATGTTCACTCTACATATATCTTCACTTAAAGTACGAACTGCTAAAATGTGCGCATCTTTTTTGTATAAGAACGAGAAATATTGCAATAGGGGTGTATCTGATTTAATTAAATTATGAAACTTAACGCCACAAAGCAACGTACACAAGCTGAGACAAGGCACTGTAAATTAAGTTTCTTATCGCATACATGAATGTTGAATGAGTTGTCAAAGCCGTGTAAGTAAACAAAAAAAATTTAGGGTGATCCCTGCGAATGCAACCACCAGAGACGCCATGAACGAATTAGAAAGAGAGGTTTGCTAGGCTTCTGCGGAAGACGTATTTCATGGCGAATATTTTTTTAATCGCACGAAAGTGGCGCACCCCTGCTATGTCGCTGCGCGAGATGGATGATAAGAAAAAAACAAACAAACAAACTCGAGAAGTGGCCAGAATGGCAACGGAATAATCCAAACGAACTGTGGCGCTTGGATCAGATAGGGGCTACTCGTGCACATTTCCCATGGCATTTTTCAACGCCGGGCTCCTTCTCTTTCCATTGCTTCTCCCTCACAGGTGAAATAATTAGTGGCGTCTGAATTCTTGTGCTTCACACGAGAACGCCTTACATTACCTCCTAATCACTTTTTAAGGGCTCCGGAAACGGGAAGGCATTGCCATCACACCCACCGGTTCAACACTAGTAGGGGTTTTGCCCCACACTCGAGTATTTTCGCTCACCCCCCCTCCCTCGCCTTTTTCTACACTGGTACTACATCCGTGAGGCTAGATACTACTAAGGTTCTCCTTTCAATCAACAAACGAAACACGATTTTCTGGATGCCTGTTACCACTGACATGCTACTTGTAGGTGCTTTGTCTGCATAAACAGCATTGCCTGCTTGCATGTTATTCAACGCACGTTCAGTCCTGAAGTGGTTCTCGAGGAAGTAAAGGCTGGCGCGGCGCTCTATTCTGAAGCCCATGTTGGAGCCCGTCTCAGCGCCATGGCATTAAGGTGTCTCATTCTCTGCCACTTTCCTTGATCCGATTTAATGAAATGCACTCAGCTACATAAGCCCGACTTTAACGATGAATCTACCCAGGGGTAGCCAGAATCGTTTTAAATGCGAAGCATTTCTTGGCGAACTTCAGCGACTTTGAGCGTATCTATCTATCTATCTATCATCTATCTATCTATCTATCTCTATCTATCTATCTATCTATCTATCTATCTATCTATCTATCTATCTATCTATCTATCTATCTATCTATCTATCTATCTATCTATCTATCTATCTATCTATCTATCTATCTATCTATCTATCTATCTATCTATCTATCTATCTATCTATCTATCTATCTATCTATCTATCTATCTATCTATCTATCTATCTACTATCTATCTATCTATCTATCTATCTATCTATCTATCTATCTATCTATCTATCTATCTATTCTATCTATCTATCTATCTATCTATCTATTATCTATCTATTATCATCTATCTATCTATCTATCTTATCTATCTATCATTATCTATCTATCTATCTATCTATCTATCTATCTATCTATCTAATCTGTCTGTCTGTCTGTCTGTCTGTCTGTCTGTCTGTCTGTCTGTCTGTCTGTCTGTCTGTCTGTCACAAATTCTGGTTGCTCAAAAGCAAATCGAATCCCATCAAATGCTTCTTGAGTAGTTGTCGAATGTTCAACATCGTTTTTTGAAATTCATGTACAATGATGATCTCATTTTAGTATTGGTAATAGTAATTTAAAAGTTGAAGACAATTGTAGCGAGGCGAACAAATATATTATTTAATTTAATTTTATTTTACGCTCAGGAGCGAAGTATTACAGAGGGGAGTGGGCAGAATATGGGCAGAATTCGCATGTATGGGCAGAACTCGCAAAGCTTTTTTTCTTGAAGTACTGTTTGATATTAGTAGACAGCCGGCTTCGCTATCGATACGCCCTGCATCATGATGGCTGAAGCTTTATTAAGAACAATTGTAGAGTAGAATACTTTTGTCAATATGGACCCAGTTTGGTTCTTCGCATTCAAAGAAGTTTTCAGAGTGCGTGAATGAACTGGCCAATCTTGGCTCCCCGTGTGACGAAGCTGGCTGCACATATTTTGTAGGCCTCTGCACCGCCCTCGCGGATCATCTTAGTGGTGCCAATGTTTTGTTTATATGGGTGCAGTTGGCATATCGAAACAATCGTAAACTATTCCAAAATAATCAGGTTTAAGAGTAGCGGCTACTAGATTCGAAAACTGAGTTGGATAGCACACCATTCGATTTGACATTATTTTTCGTATTCTGCCCGCAAGAGCTTCACTCTTGACGCCAAAAACAGGGGGCGATTTGGTGGGTTTGGTTCGATTCGCTAGATGGCGCTCAGGGCCCAAGTTCGGGCTCGGGCCGGGTGCCTACATGGCAGCGCCGTCTAACGCAGAGTATCGAGACATATTTCCGACAGAGGTTTTGCTGTACTGCGCGCGCTTACTCCAGGGGGCCTCAGCAGAATTTCGCGGAGGTAGAGCTAGCACTGAACTGCGAATATTTGAACGTTGGAGGACAAGTTTTGCTGAATGAAGAACACCTCATTTTTGTGATGCGCAGCGTCGACGTTCGTTGCAGACGAATGGAAATTCTGACCTACACTGACACGCTTGGAGGAAGCTACAAATTAAAAAATTGAACGTGGGGGGGGGGGGGGGGGGGGGGGGGGGAAAGCTGAACTGTCTATTTGTAGAAGTGCACGTTGAAAAGAAAGCGACAGTGCTATATGCAATCTGTCAGGCACGCATGCCTCTTTGCTGTGGGGCCACTCCAAGCCGAAGGGTCAGAATATGAAGCTGTTTAAAACAAATATACGCAAAGACGTTCGAATTTCCAGCTGAGATAAGCGAGAGAACTAAGTTGTCTTGAAATGCATCGGTGAAATAAAATATTACGAGGAACTTTTCATGCCATACACTGCCGTCAAAAAAAAAAAAAAATCAATAGCGTGCCCAACGCTGCAGCTTGCAACATTTAATTGTATTTTTTTTTGTGCTCAAGTCAACCAGCTAACGCCGTCACACCTCCGTTAATTGGAATTACTTAATTTTTATAATTCGCACATTTTCACACTACTTAATTGTGCTACAGGTGTTAAATTTAAAAAGGTAAACGCGAAATTTTTGTCTCACGCCTTATTATTACTCAATTCGCTTGGCCGTACACAGATCCTATTTGTAGGTGTTCACATCTTCACTGACATTTTGTAGACTCTGGCTTCTCTTCAGTATGACGAGTGACGTCGTCATAAAACGAGACTGACAGTAAATGTTCACTGCACTTTAGCAATCGTCTTAGCGTGTTGTCTTTATCTAGGTTGCTTAAAAGTGGGTAATGCTATGCATAAAAGCTGAGTAGGAGCACAGCACATATTTATCATGTCCGCGAATATTTTGAGCTGAAAGTGCTAATGCGAACGGTCACTTCAAAAGCCGTTGCTTGAGCGTGTACACGACTATAGTCCTGTGTTACTAACGTGCAAGGGTCGTTCTAGGTTCCAAGCTAAATTCAAAACTACGGTGTTAGCGCAGGAAAGATGTCAAGCGTCCCCGTTTTACCGCTTGGCCATTGCTGAGTTTTACAGCTGTTTAACCACGGTATGACAGTTGAACTTAGGGAAACCGAGTCGCTGAAACATCCAAGCAGTTCGCATATCTCTAATAATGCTTGGCGTGGAAAGTAACTTCACCTGGAAGAAGTTAGTATTGAGGTGTGGCTACGCTGGAGAGCCTGGTCTAATAATTCCACTATATCTTGCGTGTGCAATAATTCGTTCAAGCACGGAAACAGCTGTTCCAGAGAGCTAAGATGACTGAAGTACATCAACAGCTGGGCGCCTAGGTCGCTGATGGTGCACATCTAAAGTGCTTCCTTCGTGTTCCTTGTAGGAGAACACTCAATTCTTCGGTATGCGTGTCGAGAACGTAATACCAGTACACGAAAACATTTTGAATGGAAATGCCATCTGGGTGCACCTTGGTATTTACGAAATGCGCGCAGCATTCTTTTGATGAAAACCAGACCTTCATGTACACGGGACCCATATGATAGACAACGGCCGTGTAATCTTAGCTCGCATTGCCTCCGCCATCATCTTAGCAAGAAAGTTTAACACTTTCCACACAGTAGCTAGGCCGCCCGAGCTATGAACATTCACAACAGTTACTCCTATACACATCTGCATGAACAGATCAATACTATTTCTCATTGAGAGCATTCAACAAAAAATTCAAAAGATCTATAAGCACATTACCAGCTATGAACACGAGTGCTACTTTTGTCTACGGGGGGGGGGGGGAGTTATTTTTAAATGAGAGAAAGGAAGATAAAAGTGAGCCCCGTAAATGTCTGCATCAGAGTGCGACACCTCAACAGTAGCTCACGAAGGAAGGGGATAAGGAGGGATTATGAGGGATATGAATAGAGATGAGGAGACCCGCACACAGAAGTAAAGATAAGATAGAGAAAGATTGAAACACGGTATAAGGAGTCCGTAGACGGGGCACCCCTCAGCGAGAGCTTCACGGCGTCAGGAGATGGCGGAGGGCGAACCGGTCGGCCAGAACTGTGCTGTCGTCGGAGATCGCGGGGGCCACAACCATTCGGCACAAAATCCAGCGAGCGAGTCCTTTTGTCTGTGCAAGGGGAGCTACAGTACCTTCTGTGAGGATCCACTCTCTTACGCCACAGCAGCTGCAGATGGTTTCTGAAGCAGTACGGCATGAATTCCTATGGGAGAGTGCCCGTACTTTCCGGACGCGAGAGCTACGTGATTTCGCTAACGTACCCAAAAAACGTTTCCGCATTAAATTTACCCGACAACACAGCGTACCCATCTGAAGGGTAATCTTACTGAATCATTCAACAACAGAAAAAGAAGCGTTCGCATTGGGTGGCTTCGTTGACGGGAAAGGTTGAAGTAAAACTATGAAAAAAAAAGTTTATTGTTTCTCTTTTGAGTTGAACATTTTTTGGTGCTTAAGAAAACAACACGTTTTTTTGTTTTTACGTGCACTTTGCCACAACCCACGTTAAACTCACAGTATCAAAACTCTTACCTTAATATGTACACCATATCTAAGTTTTAGTCACTTGTTTGTGCCGCTCGTGCGTAATGAGTAAAATATACGTAATACAGCTTCATGATGGACTGCTTTAGGGCAGCGCGGTGGTGGTACCTGGTCTCGGCAGACGACGATGACGTGGTCCTGGTTCTGCGAGGCGGTGTCGAGTAGTAAGTCGTCTTTCGTGGGGCCAGGCCTCCGATAGGCCGGGAAGAAATGCTTGTAGGTCTGCATGCACAGGGGCTGCCGAGTGCCACCCCGACCTTGCACGTCGGGAGTCAGGGTGCCACTGCGAAGAGATCACCAATGCTGACACTGAAGAGACACTAAAAAGCAAATAATTTATTGCGTGTTAATAAAGTACAATTTCACAATCCTGAAAACACCCCTGTTAACAGACATGACGTTTGGTAGGTGAGAAAACGTGCGAAAAAGAAATGATAGGGGAGATGCTACCATGAAATTTCTGCACCAAACACCATGACGTCATAGATTTCGATAGAGTCTACTGGGTCCTACATAGCTAATAGTCAATATAAACGATGTACATTGTCATCTGTGGGTGCCATAGACCTAGCATACAAAGTTTCAAAAAATTTCATTCAACTAATGTGGTGAAAATATAAAAATGCATCTTGAAATTTGTTGTGTCACGGGTGCACATTTCGGCGTGTAATTCAAAAATGAAAGGAAACTTCAACCTTGCCTATCTCTGCGTAATAATGAAGTTCGGAAAGCGAAAATTATGATATTAGAGTTCTCACAGTGCAGTGCACTTATATAAACCAATTCATTGTTACTACTTATGTCACAGAACGAGCACTAAAAATAGGCGCGCCGCAAATTCTGGCGGTAACGCGCGGAAGAAACGCCGCGAAGTCAAAAGAAAAAAAAAGGGAAAGAAAAAGAAAACAAACGGCCAAGGCTCCCCGGGCGCGCGCCCTCCCCGCAGAAGCGTGGCTTCATCGACGAAACTCCTCACCCCACAACGGCGGCCGAGCAAGCCCGCGATTTTTCTAGAACGAAGGAGGCGGGGCCACGCCGAGATGAGTCATCCGACGCGGAGGGCAGTCGAACCGTCTCGCACCTCTCCCCAGCCTTCGTTGCGCATCGCGCCGACGAAATGAGGAGAACTTTCTGGAAGGCGGCGCGGAAGGTATTTAATCGAGCAGCCGAGACGAGAAAGCAGGAGGAGACGGAAGTGAACGCCAGAGCGCGTAGGGATTCCGCCGTGTAGTCGGCGAAGTTTTTGGTCCGTAGGGACGAGGCCGGAGGTGAAGAGGATTTCCACCTGAGGGGTGACGACTCGAGCTACCGGCAAGAGTGTGTGTTTACCGCTATCGAGCGAAGACGCGGGGCAGCAGCTGCGTGTGTGAAGCCGACGTGTTCGGGTGAAGAAGTTTGAAGCTTGAAGAGTGGCCAATTGAAGACGGGAGGTTTCCTGGAAGAGAAACTTCGAGGGCTGCGGAACGACAACAACCCTCGACTTTGAGTGAGTGATTCTCGGAAGAGTATCACCTAGACTTTGGTTCCAAGAACTTTGGACTGAATAGGTTTTCTATCTCTTTAGCCTTTAAGTGTCTTGGTTGTTCAATGCATGCGACTGCATTGTAGTGCGTATTGTTGTCCGTGTCCGTTGTTTTGAGTGTGGTTGATTGTACTGTGTCGTACGTTGTTTGATTGGTGACGTATTGTATGTAACTATTGTGGAGTGTGCATTCTTGTGTATTGTTTTCGATCTGCCAATTTCGAGAATATAATTTGTTTGTTTATCAACTCTCGGCTCTGACTTGTTCTTTGGACCACAGCCGGCGTCCGCTGGCGCACCAATAAGGACCACTCTTAAATTGTCCACGCTTTCGTGGTGCGGTTCGGGGGGCCGATACTTCGGCTCTTAGAATTAGCCCGGCGATCGCCTCCCTAATTACGGGACAGGTGTGACAACTTAGTTCCCCTTCAACATAAAAGAACTCTCGAGTATGCACCACGTGACGCTATATGTGTCGATAAATAAAGCTGTGCATCACACGACAGCCTGAACCGCGTGGTGAGTACATCGTTATGCAAGGATACCGCTAGTCAATTCTCTAACAAATTAAAGGCTCAACTATTCAGGCAATTACGACCTTCGGGCTTGCGTCAGCCATCAGGCTACAGGTTGTGCAAAGGCAAGCAGGTAACGAGTCAGTACACAGGTTGCAGGAGCTACTACAAGCAAGGACTTTGAGTTTTTAAGTTCGGGGACGCGTGTTCAGATTTCTCAGCAAACCTAATTTCCCTGAAAATTCCATCTCCCGTAAATTTTGAGTGGCAACTGTACGAGGCTCACCCAAAATGAGTGAGGCTTTTCACATCTTCTTCAAAAAGTAATTAAAGTCTTCAGATTGGAACCACGCTATCAAGCCTTAAAACAAGTAAATGAAGAAAAAGTTATCAATGCATTCTTTTGACAAGTTCTAGCCATTGTTTCGGTTTTCGAATTTGGTTCGTGGTGGTTCGTATAACTGGACTACGGGATCAGCCGGTAAAAGGGTTTCATGTTGCTATGCTATAAAGAAGGAATGTTTACATCCTCAACGTTATAAACGACCTACGGGAAATGAATGAATGAAACTATATTTATGTATCAAATGTGATAACTTACGCCGTTATTGCCCCTTTCCATGTGTGGATACCAGCAAATATTATCGAAAATTGGGGTTAAATGCAAGCGACGCTCTATCCATCATTATATCCAGGACATACTTCGTCTCTTGTCAAAATGCATGACCTACCTGTCGATTTTTTTCTTAAACAGCACTGCGAATTCGATGAATCGGGCCGCGAACCTGCGGGAAAAAAATTTTAGACGTGACAACACACAAACAATGGAAAGCAAAAGCTACTCTGTCTACATAGAAAGCATTGCCTTGTACTGCGACTGACTTCGTGCTGCTACTACGCTCGCTTCGAACCAGCAGTTATAACGTCATATTACTTACTATCTCTATCTTTCTCACTTTATTTTTTCACGAATAAAGAAATGCACGAGAAAGCACCTTTTTCACGTGATTATTATGAGGCTACGTCATAAGCTTCAATAATTTCAGCCTTTGTGTGGTGCTCATGCTATTATATCTCTCACTCACAAATTTTGTATAAAAATCACAGTGTTGTCTCAGTTTAGTCGGTGTTGCGCTGTTAATCAGGGGCCCCACCGCAGTGGTCTAGTAGCTAAAGTACTCGGCTGCTGACCCGCAGCTCGCGGGATTGAATCCTGGCTGCAGTGGCTGCATTTCCGATGGAGGCAGAATTGTTGTAGGCCCGTGTTCTCAGATTTGGGTGCACGTTAAAGAACCCCAGGTGGTCTAAATTTCCGGAGCCCTCCACTACGGCGTCTCTCATAATCATATGGTGGTTTTGGGACGTTAAACCCCACATATCAATCAATCAATCAATCAATCAATCAATCAATCAATCAATCAATCAATCAATCAATCAATCAATCAATGACAGCAAACTCAATTGAACTGAAATTTTTTGGTGTGCCTCAGCGTGGCAATGATACGTGAACAATCAACTGTACAACGCCTACCGTGTGGGAGTGACGTCACCTCTCCACTGTCTACAAAAGGCGCAACTGTTCTGCGATCGCTTCAGCGGGCACGGTGACTGCCTTAGGGCCAGCGCATGCCTAAATCGCCACTGTGTTTTGTGCGGGTTAGTCTATTAAGCAATCTGGCTGGTTATCGTAGCAATGATAAATTTTTGCTGATCTTGTCATGCACTCAGAGGTGTTTTGATATTTGACAGACTGGTGGTCAATGTTCATGTTGTTGCTCGTGTCCGTTGACATACAAGAAAATCCAGGGCTAAACTCTTGTCCGAAAATTACAGAAGTTTTACAGGCTATTATTGATAGGCTAGAAGAAAGTGTCCGCAAAATGGATGCCATAAGAGAGGAAACTGCCACTGGGCTAAAACCTAAAACTGATAAGTTACAAGGTATTCTGACGGTCTTTCAAGTCATAAACAAAAGGATTCAGGATTTTGGGACGTTAAACCCTACAAATCAATGAATCATCTGTTAATCAGGGGGTCACGGACATGACTCCTAGATTTTGTGGCAGTATTGCAATGGGGTGGAATGCAAAAAAAAAAAAAAAAACACTACGATACTTAAGTGTAGGCACATGTTATAGAAGCCTAGGCGGTAAGAACTATTCTGGAGTTCCCCAATGCGCCCTGCCTCACGATCATATCACGGTTTTCGCATGTGCAGCGCTAGATGTCATTGTTAAGCATTTTTTAAACACGAACTCAAGAGCTGATTTTATTGGCAGTAAAACATCTACAGTGCCAATAATTTATCCGCTCGTCAGCTTGCTGTGCTGAAAATAGTTCGTTAAAATTTTTTAACACCATCGGGAGGAGCCAGGTTCACACTAAATAAATGTTTTGTTCGTGGAACTGGCCCATATTATTTTTCATAACTTTATTTTTATTTTACACCTCGCTGTTTAATGCATGAAAAAGGAAGATGCATGGGAATCAATCAATCAATCAATCAATCAATCAATCAATCAACCAACCAATCAATCAATCAATCAATCAATCAATCAATACACAATAAATCAATCAATTGATCACTCAATCAATTGATCACTCAATCATTCGATCAATTTATCCATAAATCGATCAATCTATCCATCAATCAATCAACCGATTCATCAATCCAGCCAATTACCTGGCTTGGTCAGCGGAAGTGGCGAAGTACTGCTTTGGGAGGAGGTAGAACGGAGAAGAATTAACAGGGAGCGGCTGGCTGTTGTTCAGGTACATGTCGTCCAGCCACAGCTCGGTCACCTGCGTCACAATGACAGTGCAAGGGGTTAGGCCTTGCCGATGGCTGCGTACATGCGTGGTGATGTCAACGTGCGCAGAATGCTGTACGCTTATGTCTAGCAGACCTAAAACCATTTAACAGAGTACCTTCGAAATGACATGTCTTGCCCCAAAGTGCAGCATTGTGGCCATTGTGCTGTAAAATGGCTAACAGGCGCGGAATGCAAACAATCACAGTCGCTACTGTGCTGAAATTGACAACTATGTGCCCATAGATTGCCAGGAATGAAAAAGCCAGAGAAATGAACGTTTTATAACGTTTTTTAAGAACTATAACGCGGCGCTCGAGTCTACCTGCATGCTAGTAATGATTACCCTCGTTGTTGTTAACCTAAACGACCGTGTTGTACACCCGTGGTAGGAAAACTACCACAACTTAGAACATTATAAGAGGTTGGTTCCTTTGTTGCGTGAAGGCACACTACTTACTACAGGGTTCCAGCCACCTTGCCCATTGTGTGGTCCACTATTGCGCACCCCATTCCTTATTGTGTAGCCATGGTGTATACTCGTTGAGCGAATCATATCTGCCGGGTGAAGATGTGCTGCTGTCAAGTGATATACGAAGGCCACCTTCTAACGCGCATTCATCGAGAAAAAAAAACCCTGTAGTGTTTAGCATATACTACAGCGTTTGAGGACTTGGAAAAAAACCATCGTAGGGCGCCTGCAACGTACCATGAAGAATGTCTTGCCGGATGATGGTGTATAAGCTAATGATGGCCTCGTGCCAATAGATTTGGGGCCGTGACGAAGTGTCGGTGGAACAACGATATGACGACAGTACACCACCGGTTAGCGTATAACTGCGTGTAAGTGGGTGTTGATGTCGATTCCAATTCACTGAGTCAGCGAAGTAACGTACCTAAGTCAATCTCCACTGGCGAGCACTGTGAACATTTCTTACAATAGTTCAAAGACCTAAAAGAAACAATTAGTCTCTCCATCCATGGGACAGTAGAGAATTGGGCACTAAGCATCATTATGAGTTGACAGTAGAAACGTTTGACCGTGCCATTGAAACTTCAGTGATGGGCTGCAGCCTCTGTGTGTGCCACCACCGGAAGGCAAGCCTGAGTTCAAAACAGAGATGGTTCGAATTATGTCTGAAGTTTTGTCACTGTGGTGTAGCATGTCTTGAAGCCATTGGACCATAGATTCGGAAGTAATATTAGAAAGAGCCATGCATTTGTACAGCGGGTAAATGAATTGACGCAAGTTAGTATGTATCTGATTTGAAGGCGGTGGTATTGTGGACCAACTATGTTGGCATGAGCATGATAGAATCACTTGTATGATGGAAGAGAGCGGCTAATAGCACCCTAATTGTGCCAGCTAGCTTTGGTGCCCTTACATGCAGAGACCAGCGACGAAATCAACTTTCACACGCGCTCAAGCTTAGCGGGAATGAGCAAGGCATTGTGTCGCAGGAGCGGGATGTTGAGGCGAGAGCGACCAAAATGCTTATTGCAAATGACGGTGATACCACAGTCAGGCAGCAATAGTGAGTTATTAGCAGTGTGACTTGTCACGGGTTCGTTGTTCGTGCGCTGGAAGGCCGGGAGGCTGTTGAAGTGAATGTTACGACGATCTACGGGACTTACGCTGAGTTGTATTTGTGAAATTAGCATTAGTAACAGAGTTATTCATGCCACTGAGATCAATGGCATCAGTAGTCTTAAATCCGAAGTTTAGGGGTGAACTCCCCGCGTGGTGAAGAGCTGTAGAAGAATTCACGGGAAGCTCGTGGTCGGTGACAACGAAGAACCGACCACCTTCCAGGTGGGGACGGAAGTGGCGAACTAAGAGTTAGATCGGTTTGTGGCCGATAGTGATGTCCCTGATTCATTGCCGAGTGAGCATCTTCGAGAAGGAAATGCACTGGCATGCATTGGAAACCAGGTGTTAAAGTACAGGACCACAGCTACACCTGCAGAGGTGTTGATCGTGGAGGATATTGGCTTATCATATAGTTAGGAATCGCTTGAATAGCGTTGGCAGCAAAGAAGTTCTTAGCGGAGTTCAGCAGCGCCTGGCCATAATAAAAATGCGCTTGATGTTTCCGGGCTGGACTGTGCGGCGGCTATAGTGGAAGCCCAGTGGAGAGTGAAGTGGCCTTAATTATTGATGATAAGTTCACGGAATTACTTCTACTTATTTGTGGTTGATGGTCACGGGAACTATTCGATGACATTGACAGGGCCTGAGATGTGTTGAATGATGATAATGATGATGATCATGACAACAACAACCACACAACAAAACGTACCGACTACGTGCGATTGGACAAAAGGGGGTGGTGCCTTTAATGTACATTAAAGATAATAATAACGATTGACCTGTAAGCCAAAGTAAATAGGGCAGTTAAGTATGTATAGTTGCTAGCGAAATGCGCGTGAAAGTTTAAGACACGAAGAAAAGTACAAAGGAAAGTCGAGGGTTATCTGTTTTTTTAGTTTTTTTTGCGCCAATGGCTACCAAATCTGGTGGGGCAACCATATTGTGGTCTAGAGCCGAATGCCAGGTAAATAATTAAAGTTAACATTTCCGTACTTCTCTTGTAACTAGGTTATACCGGTTACCCCAAACGATTTTCCTTTCGAGATATATACACTACGGCGGAGAAATTCATAGGCCAGTCACATCAAGTTCAGTGCTTAATTCATCGATTAGGTGATTATTTTAGTCTCATCGTGTGCATGTTTGTTCAGTTTTGCTCTTACTTTCATTTCATTTCTTATATCAAAAAGGGTGTTTTCTAACAATGAGGAATTACTTTCAACCAATTTTTATTATTTACAATATAGATTTTCAATAAAGAGCTAGAAAAATAATTTTACAAGACAGAGCGGTTAGCCTGAGCTAGTATGCACTAGCCTGCAACTCTGCGCACGAGAAGAGGGACATGAAAAAGAAAACAACAACAACAACAACAACAACAACAACAACAACAACAACAACAACAACAACAACAACAACAACAACAACAAAAAAGCCAGGCCTGCGCGTAACGCGCAGCACAGTCACAGCGAATGTTAGAAGAGCGGCCTTTCAAAGCCTTTTCTAAACACTCTTTGGGTAACTGCGACAAGCACACTGCTGGGCACCCACCACGCCATAAGTAATCATAACGTTTGTGTAGTAGGACAGCATTCACTAGGCTATCTTTCTTCATTATTTGGACAAGCGTAGTATCCTTTACACACTTGTAGGAAATTCAGTGCAATTTTTTAATGCAGTGGCTGACGACTATGAAGAAATATGCCGGAATTGGATATGCGCCACAGTTAATAGGTGATCAAGAACAAGTTTTCTAATAGGTTAAAGCATTGAATGACCCAGTCGTTACGCGATTCGCGTTGTGTGACGCCTGGCTGTTCCTTTGATGTTCTAAAACGCTTTATTACTCATATTAACGTGATTATTTTACCGACTATAATCCAGCCTAAGGCCAGTTCAGAAACAATTTCCAAGCGCTGGCGAGGCTCAGTGGTAGAATGCTGGGCTGGCACGCAGCGGACCTGGGTTCAGATCCCGTTGTGTCATTTGCTTTTTATTTACTGAGTTCCAAGCACTGGCATGGCTCAGCGGTAGAACACTGGGCAGGTACGTCATTGTGTCTTTGGTGTTCGTATTTACAGAGTTGTTTTTTCATTTGATTCTGATTTTGGACACCGGTGGCAACGGTGGCGGACAACTACGGCGCCACGCGTGACCCATGTTCTGATCTCATAACAGCTTTCGCTGTAAAAAGAAGTGATGAAGGGTGAGGATGGGGGCAGAAACAAGTTATGCGTATATACAATAACGACGCAGCATTGTGGCTTCGCTGGAGTTTAGTGTACAGTCCTGTACCTTTTTGGATTTGCAGGTAAATCCGCTCGATTCTCGGCCACTTCTCCTGAGTGGGCGGGTACCTCTACACTGAAAGTGATTGTCGTCGTCATCCCAACAATTATCATCGCAATCATCAGCGTCAATTCACGGAAACTGCAGATTCATAAAATAACATCGCCATACTGTTTACCGTGCCTATAAATGTCCCATTTTCTCATCGGGTATCTGAGAGCATCCCACCCCTCGAGGGACTGAAATGAAAGGACCTGCATTGAAGAAAACGTGGTGACGGGAACCCGAAGAAGACTGCCGAGATAAGTTGACGATGGAATTATGCAATATCACAAGGGCGAGTGATTTATGGAAGAGACGTGTGTCCCAAATGCAGACAAGCCTAAATGTATCTCCACAATGCGCTTGAACATGACACGGTCAGGGGTTAATCATACAAACAGACCCACAACTTGATACTACCGTGAGCTCGTTAACATTAAAAAAAATGGCCAGGTCCCGCGTACCTTGGGAATGAACGTTATGTGAAGCATGCGGAGAGACGGTGATCGTGTTATATTTTTTCAAAATAAACGACACGTTATGGAACGACGCTGAATATATGTACAAATGTTGCACGCACAGGCATACGTTGAAGAGTTGCAGATGTGTTATATAACCAGTTTTTTGGACTTGCGCAACGATGCCAACAAGTACATGGGTATTAGCAACACCAGAAGCGATAAGCTGATATGAAGGGCTGGGGCTGGCGAGGATGGTATATCCCTGGACACTGCTATATAAACCACTTTTAGCGGATGACACCTAATTACAATTGATGTTAACTCGACGTGACGGCTGTATCATATGAGTACATATGTAATGTTTATAAAACTGGGCAGACGGCATTGCGAACATAATTGACGTTTCACGAACAATACGGTCTATTTGAAAAGTAGTTCCGAGATATGGCGTGGCGTTGTGGAAGAATCCTTGAATGCCACACAAAATTCTTGGTTCGATTCCTGCTGGGACCCTGACATTTATTCTCTGCATTCGTCAGGTCAACGCTGCCGATGTCCGGTTTTTAACGCTCATGCGTTAAAATTACCCATGTGTGTTCTGAG